GGGCTTGGGAGGTACAGCTGAGAGCACAAACAATAACCCTGTTCCCATCCATTTACTCAAGCAGCACCTACTGTGTGCCAAGCATTGTGCAAAGAAAGCAGTGGCCTCTGCCCTCATAGAGATGACAGTCAAGGTGGGAGACAGGCATCAGGAAAGTTTTAATCAAGCAGGTCCTGCTTATGGTGGGGAAAGACTGGGTGCCCTGCTTAAACATTGTATTCTTTCCCTCAATTCATAATCATTTACCAATGATAAATGTTGCTCATGTTCTCGGTCAGTGGAGGAAACACGAAGATGCTTGCTACATTATTTGCTCAGTCAGAACGCCTGATGAATGCAACAACAGAAGAGGCCTCTTCAGGAAACGCGCGTCGCACCACTGAACAGGGTGCAGAGCTCAGAGGCAACAGCGCCTGTGGACTGAGAGGGCTCAAGGAGGAGCCCACAAGCCTCAACGCCCATCCAGTCAGCCCCAGGCTTAAAACCCTCCTGGGGTTTGCAACCACTCTGTTCCCACCCCCAGCTCCCGGCAACCACTCATCTGCTTTCTGTCTGCAGATTTGCCTTTTGGGGGCATTTAATACAAATAAAACCACTTGACAAAACTGGGGGGGGGTGATTAAAATGTCCTACATTAAGGTGATGCTATCTACACATTTAACGGTACACTTAAAACATAAATTTTATGATATGTAAATGATACCTCAATAAAACTTAAAATAAAAAACTTTCAGTCACTTCCTACTTACTTGGGCTAAAATCCAAACTCACTCGCCCTGAGCCCTGTGAGATCTGGGCTGACATGGCCCTCCCACCTCAGCCCTCCCTTCACTCTGCCCTCCTCACTGGCTGACCTTCCTGCTCTTCTGGCCAAGCTCTGCCCCACCTCCCTGCTCTGCAGTGCCCTCTGCCTGCAGGGCTCTGGCCCCCTCCCCGCAACTGTCCCTTCTTCCCTCCTCTTTCTGTCTCTGTCTAAATGAGCTCGCAGAGACCTTCCACATCAATCCCCCGGTGACACTGTTCTCTCTCGCCTTGCCTCTTCCCAGCTCTCACCAGGCTTGCTTCCGTCATTTACTGTGTTTCCCCATTCAACTCTAAGATCCAAGAAGGCAGGGCCAGAGTGTCTGTTTCAGCAGCATCCGGCACTTAGGGGAGCTCAGTCTGTTGAATCCGAAAATGACAGTGGTGTTACCAGATGGAGTCTGGGCCCGGGGCAGGTCTGCCTCTGGCCCACCAGTAGTCTATGAGTATTGATTTTGTATAGGAAAAATTTCGCAACACGAGTCCGGGTGATTTTGAGAGTATGCTTATTAAAGCTGAGGACAGTGAAACAAAGGAAGGGCTTAAGATGGAAGAAGCAATAGGAGAGAGAAAGAGAAAAAGGGGGCCTTGGAGATAGGCTCAGGGGGTACCTTAGAGTCTGGGAGGGGGAGTAGCAGAAACAGAAGGTGTGGATGTGCCCTAGTGAAAGTGTGCAGTGGACTGCGCGTGTCTGCTAAAGCTGAGACCGGTGCCTAGGGGGGGAGACGTGGGGAAGGGAAGGGGCTGGCCTGCTCCTGCAGGGGAGCAGGCACCCTGGATTCCTCGTCTTGAGGCTTTTTATCTTCCTTTGGCTGTTGGCCAGAATCCTAGGAGAGGTTTCAGGGGAGGGTCTTCACAGGATATTCATTAGCATTCAGGTGTCTCCTTCAATATATTGATTCATCAAAATGTGTGTATCGAGGGATCAAGAGTATTTCTCTGGTTAGTTTTATTTTTAAAGCACGGTATTGAAAAGGGACCAGGGACCAGGACCAAGGCCAGTCTGCCCCAGGATGGCTGGAACGTGTAAACCATTTGCTCCTAAGTGTCCCTGGTTATGGAAGATAAAACCTTGTGATTCATTAGCTGACTGTAAGTTGCTCAAATTGTTTGGCCTTGTTTAATTATTTTGTCTCAGTTTCCCTTATTCCACCTGTCGAGAAATTTCCCTGGCTTCTCACTGTCCTGCCTCAGTGGAGCCCAGATGAGGGTGCTAAGAGGGGACCAAGGTATTCCGAATGAAGAACAGGAGTGAGCAAAGGCGAAGGCCCTGGTAAAGGTAGCTGATCTGGCTGGAATTGTGGCTTTGAGCTTGGTAAAAGATAAACTGGGGCATATTTAAAATTTTAAGGGTTTATCTGAGCAAAAATCAATTCCAATCAGGGAGTACCAAACGGGAAGTGCTTTGGAGCACTTGGCCACAGGAGCCAGGGGAAGACTCCTGTGGAGAATGAGGGGAAGCAACCTAAGGAAACTGATGGGCTAGAGCTTAAAGCCTAGTTAGCTGTTTGTGGCTGTCCTTAGCATTTTGATATCATAATCCCGAGGCATCTCCAGGTTTAAGTTTTGGGTTACTTACTTTGTAGGCAGCCATGGCATTGGAGCCACATCAGTCTAATGGCCTCTTTGTTTAATTAGTGTAACAGGCTGCTCAATTCAAATGGAGAATTTCTGTGGCACTTGTGTGCTTAGAACAACTTGCAAAGGAATGACAAACATCAGAGTAGGGAAAAGACCAAAGGTCAGAACTGGCCATAGAATGCCCACCACTTGCCAACTCCTGGTTGATATACAGAGAAAGGGGGACTCCAAAAGCAAGGAAGTTGGTGGCAGGCCTTTGCTGGTGGTTCCGGCAGCCTGGAGGAGAAAGAATTAACCCTTCCATGTCACTATACATGCATCAGGCCAGGTCATTTCATCCCCAACAGGAACAGTCATTTTGAGTGTGGTTAACTGAAGTCAACTAACTTTGGTTTGCCCACAGGCCCCAGAGACACTCTTGGGGGCCCGTTTGAGGTCACTGACTGTTAGTTTAGAAATTAAGGTGTGAGCAGGCCCCTGAAGCCTTGAAGAAAGAATCTGTTCCATCCTACTCCCCCAGTCCCTGGTAGGTGCCAGCAATCCTCGGCACCCCTTCTTGTAGCTGCCTCGCTCCAGTCTCTGCCTGTCTTCACATGGCTGTCTTCCCTCCGAGTGTCTGTACGTGTGTCTCGTTTCTTATAAGCACTCCGGTCAGAGAGGATTTGGGGCCCACTCTACTGCAGTCCCACCTCATCTTAACTAATCACATCTGCAAAGATTCTACTTCCCAAGAAGGTCACATTCTATGTTTCTGGGGGGACACAATCCAACCCAGTACACTCAGCCCGAAAGACCCTCAGGAGCACTGGCTCAAAGAGGCATCTGAGTTCAAGCACTAATCATACTGATTGGGGACAGTAAGGGTATGGCCTGGCCCTGAGTACCCATGACACCAGAGGCCAGCCAGACTTGTGCTGGCTCCCAGGTGGCCCATGTGTTGTACTGGCACCAACAGGTGCCACCTAACCCTGGACACTGCCCTGGAACAGAGGCCTGAAAAGAAGTGTCCTCTCAAAGGATTGCTAAAGTATGTGCTACAAAATAACAGGCCAGCTTCATGGGCTTCCAGCCTGTGCAGGTGTCAGGGCCTGCGCACACAGGGATCCCACGCTTGCTTTCACACTCTGCTCTCGACATCCTGAAATTCTCAATATTTTAACAAGGATCCCTGCAAATTATCTAACTGACCTGCCTATTCTCTTCCTAAACGTCAAGATCATTAAAGACAAAGAAAGGCTAAGGAACTGTTCCAGATTCAGGGAGACCAAAGACACATGAGGAAATGAGCTACAAAGGACTATAAAAAAATTCAACTTCATAAATTTGGGGAACTAATTGGCTTTGTTAGATGAGTCACGAATCAGGCAGCATCCTCTCTAGCCATTAGAAAGGAGCTCCAAGGAGTTGTTTTAGATGGAAGACTTTTATACATAGAAGAAAAGGAGTGGATTGTTTCAGGCAAGATCACTCCCTTCAAGAAACAAAAGGGGTCTATCAGGCACATGTTGGTATAAGAACATCCAAACCTGTAGAGAATTTTTATAGTCATATATTTGAGCTAAACACAGGATATGCCTGGAAGCAAGATCTCAACAGATTAAGAAAAATCCTTCAGAGAGTAATGGTTTATGAATTTGAGATTAAGGAGGGGGTGTAAGGAAGATTACAGGAAAGTGGGAGAAAGCAAGGCAGGGATCGGGTTATAGGCTGTTAAGATTTGAGCTCTCTTGCTTTCGAAGGAGGGGCCTAAAAGGGGGGTGATTTAAAAGCTGTGTTAACCTAGATGCACAGAAACAATGGACCTGGTTTGTTTAAAGTGAAGAGTTAAACCTTTCACTACAGAAGTTACAGGCTGGGGGCATGACCTGACCCGGTTAACAACTTGTGAGGTTACTTTTCATAGAGCCGCTTTTTTGTCTACAATTTTACCTCTGTAGTGCTAGCCAGGAAAATCCAGAGTGACGTTAAGATTACCTTCCTGAGAGGGGCTGAAACTGCAATTAGGTTAGGTATCAAGTCTCTGTTCCGTGATGTGAAGCTTAGCACAACTTACTCCATTTGGAGCCTCTTGTTTCTTTTTTAATGGGACATTATAGAGACAACTGATAAAATTCTAATATGAACTATGAATAGTTAATAGAACTCTACCAATATGAAATGTCCTGATCTTTAACTATCCTGTGGTTATGCAAGAAAATGTCCTTTTTGTATAAGACACATAGTTTATTGAGATGAAGGATCATGATGTTTGCAATTTGGCTGCAAGTAGTAGAAAAAATGCACATGAATAAAGTACAAATACTGAAGCAAATGGGGCAAAAGTTAACAATTGGTAAAGATAAGTAAAAATATGCCGAAGTTCTTTTTTTTAAAGCTGTTATTCTATTACAGTTGTGTCCATTTTTCCCCTATACCGGAGTTCTTTATACTGCTCTTTCGACTGCTGTAGGTTGAAATTACATCAACTTTAAAAGTTCCCGCCGCCACCCCAGCGCCACACCCCCTCCGGGAAAAGCACAATGAATTACTGGACGAGATCTCACCACACCCTTTCCGAAGGTAGGTACCGATTCTCTCAGCCTCCACCAGGGGTCCTGAGTCACGTGGGTCTAGCCCACGTGACCGGAGCCCCCAGTTCAACATGGCGGCCTCCATGGGTGACCGGCTTCTCTTATTTACGCTCCTCTGGAAGGTGTCTGACGGCTTCAGTCGGGGGTGAGTACAGTCCTCGAGGGTGGTCGGGGGAGAGCCCGGTTCGGGGGATCCTCTGCCCGGCCGCAGCCCTCTAAGTTCGCGGCCGCCCCACCCCACAGGGCCTCCCTGGACGACGACTTGCTGCTGCCCTACCCTTCCCTGCGCGCGCGCTCAGCCCGGGACTGCGCCAGGGTGCGTGTCGGCGGCCGCGAGCACGAGAGCTGGCAGCCCTCCCCGGCGACCCCCGGCGCCCGCGGCCTTTCGGTGCGCACTTTCGTTTCGCATTTCGCGGGCCGCGCCGTGACTGGCCACTTGACGCGGGCCGCTGAGCCCCTGCGCAGCTTCTCCGTGCTGGAGCCGGGTGGGCCCGGCGGCTGCGCGTCCAGGCGCCGCGCCACCGTGGAAGAGACTGTGCGGGAGGCCGGCTGCAGTGTCGCCCAGAACGGCGGCTTTTTCCGCATGGACACCGGGGAGTGCCTGGGGAACGTGGTGAGCGCCGGGCGGCGGGTGAGCAGCGCCGGGGGGCTACAGAACGCGCAGTTCGGGATCCGCCGCGACGGGACCTTGGTCACCGGGTGAGGAAGCAGGGAGCCCCGCGACTGTCGTGGACAGAGATCCTGAGATTTAGGTTGTATCTGTACTGCCGTATTCCACCCACCTAGCCAAGCTGAGCCTCCGTTTCCTCATCTGCAGAATGAGGGTAGTGATAACCAATTTGCAGAGTTCATTTGTCACCCCCGAGCCCCTGCTTTGTGTCACATAATGTGCTGTATACTGGAGATATGTATAGCAGTGAACAAGCACAAACAGCCTTTGCTTTTTCACGGACCTCTCCCATTACTAGGAAAGATAAACAAAGGCCAATGCGACAATGTAGATAAATTGTGTATGTGCAGGGGAGCAATGAAGACGGTGAGCCAATTGTAAATAGAGTGTTGATTTTAGGGAGGGTGATCAGGAAAAGCTTTTTTGAGAAGGTGATCTCTGAGTTGAGAGGCCTGAAGATTAATCACAAGTCAGCCAGGGTCAGAACTGGAGGAAGAGCATCGCAGTCAGAAGGAACAGCAAACACAAAGACTCAGAGGTACATAGGAGCTTGGTGTGTACCAAGGACTGAAGGAAGGGCTGAGTATCAGAGGACGGATGATAGGACCGACTGATTATTTGCAAGCTTGCTCTAACCCTTGCTGGAGACTAGGCTGGAGGGCCATAGTGGAGGCAAGGAGGCCAGTTACCAGCTGCACAGACATCAGGAGGTAGTTTGGCTAGGATGACAGCCTGGGAAATTGAAGGTTCCTGTTAAATGACATGTAGCCTGGACTGTGTAGACTGATTGTAAGGCTCCTTTAGGGATCAGGTCCAGGCAGGTTCCTGGGGCAGCCAAGCTGTTGGGGGTGCAGTGGTGAAGGAGCCCCACCACCCACAGCTGCCCCTGCTAGTTAGTGAGCCTCACACCTTCCCTGTGTCCAGGTATCTGTCTGAAGAGGAGGTGCTGAGCACTGAGAATCCATTTGTGGAGCTGCTGAGTGGGGTCGTGTGGCTAATACGAAATGGAAGCATCTACATCAATGAGAGCCAGGCGGCTGAGTGCGAAGAGACACAGGAGACAGGTGGGGTTGGGGTGGCAACAGCACTCCTGAGAGTGAGGACCGGGGGGGCTGTGGGGAGGCCTTTCAGTAAGTACTGTTCTAGGTACTGGGGATCAGGGATTAAGACAGGTAAGTGCCTGCTCAGTATATAAGAGGGAGAAATATAATTTGCTAAAATGAAGTAGTAAATGCTAAGAAAGAAAAATGAAGTTGTGGAAAAGGGGCTACTGGCAAAGGAATAGAAAGGTGCTGCAAACATGTTCATGGACCAGCAGTATCTATGTTACCCAGGAGCTTGTTATAAATTCAGAGCTTCAGACCTACCTCAGACCCACAGGATCAGAATCCCTGGGGGTGAGGCCCACACCTGTGTGTTTTAACAAGCCCCTCTGGGTGATTCTGATGGACACTCAAGTTTGAAAACCACTGGAATGTGGAATGCTGGGTCAGGGAAGGGACATCATGGCCCTAATGTGGAATTGGCCTATTTTAGAACAAGCAGTCAGGGATGGCCTCATGGAGGAGGTGACTTAGATCAGAAGGACCAAGCCCTGGGAATAGGTGAGGAGAAGTGCAGTCCAGCCAGAGGGAACAGAAAGTGGCTGCAGGGTGATGAGGTAGAAGAGCAGACCAGGATGCTCATTCTGGGCCTTGAAAAGGCGTCTGGATATTGCTCTAAGGACGGTGGAAGCCATAAGAGTGTTTTCCCCTGGGGGCTGACATCACTTGATTTCCACTTTAAGAAGAGCCCTCTGGCTCCTCTGTGAGCCTGACTGGAATGGGGCAGCGGGGAGGCAGTGAAACGCTGGATGGCATGGACTGGGAGGCAACATTGGACTGGCGGCAGGTAGTAGTGACAGCCAGAGGGCCTCCCAAGGGCCCGTGATTAGCCCAGCTGCTTCTCTTCCAGGTTCCTTCAGCAAATTTGTGAATGTGATATCAGCCAGGACAGCCGTGGGCCATGACCGGAAGGGGCAGCTGGTGCTCTTCCATGCAGATGGGCAAACAGAACAGCGGGGGTGAGTGCCAGGAACCAGAGCCTCTGGTTCTGGGCTGAGTCCTGCTTTGAGGAACTTGGACCCACTGATGGCTGGCCTCTGACCTGCAACTGTTCCTGGGGATGTTCATACCCATCTGTCCCCTGCCTTCCCATAGTCTGTACCACTTCCAAGAACTCATCATCCCCCACATCCTTCTTCTCATTCCCCCTAGTTTAGGCGTCCTCCCTCCTGAGCCTCATTTGGAGTGAAAGGAAGTGATCACAGAGTTAGTGGGGAGAAGACCTGGACGCCAGTCCCAGCTTGGCTATCTGCTAGCTCTGTGGCCATAGACAAGTCACTGAGCCCCTCTGAGCCCAGTTTCCTGCTCTGTAAGAAGAGTGTCTTGTGCTATTTCTATATAACAAATGAGCACCCACTTGTTGCATCAGAATTCTGTAGGTGGGGAGTACAGAGGGCTCAGTGGGCTCTGTCCGGGGCCCACTTTCACAACGCAGGCAAGCTCTTAGCCAGGCAGGGCACTCATCTGCAGCGTCTGGGTGGGAGGGAAAAAACCCTCTTCCCAGCTCATTTACACTGTTGGCAGAATGCAGTCCCTTGCACTTGAAGGACTGAGGTCTTTGTGTCCTTGTTGGCTGCCAGCCGGGGCCTCTGCTCCTGCGGCCACCCACATGCCTCCTCACGGGTGCACCCTCCCTGCCTTCAAGCCATCAGATGTGTCACATCCCTCTGATCCCCTCAGATTTCTAGTCTCTCTCAGTTCCTCTTCCACTGCTGGCCAGAGAAAGTTGTCTGAAAGGGCTCTTGTGATTCCATTGGGCCGGCCCAGGTAACCCAGGACAGGGTCCCCGTTTGTGGATAGCTGTGCCATGTAGTACACCATCATCGTGGGCGTGATCTCTCTTATATTCACAGCTCCTGGGGACTTGGGTGGGGCATCTTTGGGAGGCCATTTAGAAATTTTCCTGCCAGCACAATGTCATCTACCATGGAAAATAAGAATTCCACCAGAAGTAGTGGTGGGCTGTGTCAGCAGTGCCACTCTTGTGCTGCAGCATCAACCTGTGGGAGATGGCGGAGTTCCTGCTGAAACAGGATGTGGTCAACGCCATCAACCTGGATGGAGGGGGCTCCGCGACCTTCGTGCTCAATGGGACCCTGGCCAGTTACCCGTCAGATCACTGGTAAATGCACTGGAGTCTCCTTCTTGAGGTCCAGGCCTGTTCTGGACTGCCTCATTCAAAAATACTGAGTACCTACTATGTGCCAGGCCCTGGGATTCAGCAGTGAGCAGGAAGAGCCAGGATCCCTGCCTCTCACTGCTTATAGGAAGTACACATAGTGTACCAGTGGTGAAAGCTGGTGAAAGGGGATTAATTAGTCAGGAAGAAAACTTTCTGAAGATAATGAAGCATGAGCCGAGATCTGAAGGAAGAGGAGGTGGCTAGGCAGCTGGGGTGGGAAAGCCTTCTAGACAGAGAAAGCAGCATGTGCAAAGGCCCTGGGGTGAGAGGGACTATGGGGATTATAAAGAACCTACAAAAGTTTGGAGGTGGGGCAACGGAGAAAGGCAGTGGGCTGCAGCAGGAGGTCAGAGGGGCTGGCTGGGGATGGCTGGCACTGCAGCCTCTCTTCAAACACTGTGTGCCCTTGCAGCCAGGACAACATGTGGCGCTGTCCTCGAAGCGTGTCCACTGTGGTGTGTGTGCACAAGCCCCGCTGCCAGCCACCTGACTGCAGCGGCCACGGGACCTGTGTGGAGGGGCGCTGCCAGTGCACGGGGCACTTCTGGTGGGGCGCTGCCTGCGACAAGCTGGACTGTGGCCCCTCCAACTGCAGCCAGCACGGGCTGTGCACAGAGAGTGAGTGGGGACTCTGGGGAGGCAGCTCTAACCCAGGCTCCCAGCTCTCCCTGCCCATCTCTGCGTGGGCCCTCACCTGACCTTCTCGGTCTTGTCTTGGCAGCCGGCTGCCGCTGCGAAGCTGGATGGACAGGGTCCAACTGCAGTGAAGGTAAAAGCCAGCAGGCCAGCCCCTCCCCAGCCGCCATGCACACGGGGAGAGGGTACGGTAATTGTGGCAGCTGCCTTCATCTTTGCCTCTTGGTCTGCACGTTGCTTGCCTTGTGTCTCTTGCTCTTGCCTCACTACATTAGTGTGCTGAGGCTGCTGCAACAAATTCTACAAATAAGGCAGCTTAAAACAAAAGAACTGTGTTCTCTGACACTCAGGGTGTTGTCAGAGTTGTGCTCCCTCTGAAGGGTCTAGCAGAGGACCCTTCCAGCTCTTGGCTTCCAGCATTCCTTTGGCTTTTGGCCACAGCACTCCAGTCTCTGCCTCTGTCTTCACACAGTCTTCTGTGTGTGCACTCTCCCTCCGTTATCTTACCAAGGGCCCCTGGTCACTGGATTGGGGCTCACCCTAAATCTAAAACGATTTCATCTCAAGATCTTTCACTTAAGTGTATCTGTGAAGACCATATTTCCAAATAAGTTCCCATTTACAGGTTCTAGGAATCAGGACATATTTTGGCAGTGGCAGGGGGGCGGGTAGTAGCGGGGGGCACGATTCAGCCCACTACAACCATACACAGCTTAAACCCTTCAGTGGCTTTCTTTCACACCTGGTGAAAAACTCCAACTGTTCAGTGTCACCTGCCAGGCCCTGGGTGCTCCAACCCCTCCCTGTTCACTGTACCCACTCTGCTCTTCCTCTCTAAGTCTCAGCCTAATGTCAGGTCCTTGGAGGCCAGCCCCTCAGTGGTTTGCTGCTACCAAAAGGTCAGGACCCCGCAGTATTTCTCCTCGTTTGTACTTTGACATTTGCTTTCTAGCTTGCTGGCCCCCTGCCCTCCTAGCCTGGAAGCTCCATGAGCTCATAGCCTCAGGGCCTGGCACATTGTCAATTACTCTGTTGGGAGAATATGTGAGCCTAAAGGCCATGCAGAATGACTGAGGTCCATTTGCAACCCTGTCAGCCCCAGCCTGGGAAGGACAGGGCCAGATTTTGCAAAGACCTTCCTTCCCCCATCCCAGCTTGCAGCAATGGCTCCTTCGGGGAGGACTGTGCCAGGAAGTGCCAGTGCCAGAATGGAGCTACCTGTGACCCAGCTCAGGGGACCTGCACCTGTCCCCCTGGCTTCACTGGTGACAGCTGTGTACAGGGTAAGTAGACGGTGCTCCCTCCTGGCTCACTGAGTCAGCCAGGAGGGAGCACCACCCAGGGCACCTCCAGGGGCTGGCCTGAGGGAGGATGTGTGTAGGTGGGTGCACCTCTCCTTTAGCCCAGCTCTGTACACACCCTGGCCCTATCTTGTCAGTGCAGAGAGAGGCTGTGCCACAGGTACCTCCACCTCTGCATCTCTGTCTCCTCACTGCAGAGTGTCCCCTTGGCTGGTACGGGCCAGGCTGCCAGAAGCCTTGTGAGTGTGAGCACCAATGTCCCTGCAACCCCCAGACCGGCAACTGCAACCTCACCCAGACACCAACCCTGAACAGCATTCTCTCCCAAGGTACGGCCCCTCTCAGGGCCCTTGGGGGCAGGAGAAGGCAGACTCAGACCTTCCCAGACCCTCAGCCTCACCCTGGTATCTTACAGTGAAGCAGTGTCTCCAGCCATCCGAGGTCACCCTGCAGACAAGAGAATTCTCCCTTCTCACTGGGTAGGTGCTTTGGTGGGACCTGGGGCAGAGGTGGCAGGAACCCCCCCCCCCACCTTCAAGGGACTGGATAAGGCTGACAGGTGGCAGCTGGGCATCCAGGTGACATTTCTCCAACATGAGCACAGGGAGAGTCACAGCCAACACTCGAGGGATGTGGTGAGAAGGACCCTGGTCACCACCCCCATGGGAGTCAAGGTGGCTGGGCATGGGCTTACTGTCCTTGGTCGTGACACTCACAGCTTGTTCTCAGCTCCCAGGGCAGAAGCACTGAGCCCCAAGGAACTAGCCTGGTTTCTCAGGCCTTGTGCGGAGGCTTTATTTTCAAATCTGACCTCAGGGAGGATGGTGTATTGAAAGAGTGCTGGGCCCCATCCCCGGAGTTTCCACCTCGGGAGGTCTGGGGAGCAGCCGGCATCTGCACTCCAGGTGATGCGGGCACTCACGGTCCCAGGACCTGCTTCAAGGACTCGCTTCTCATGGTTCTCACCTCCCATAGCCCAGGCCTGGGTGCCTGGCCTGGCCCAGCCCGCTCCGCCCAGCTCCTCCGGAGGTGGACACCAGCTGTGGGTGTGAATGGAGAGCTCCCCAGCACTGTTCCAGAGGCAGCACCTGGGACCAGGTGCCAGGTCCCTCCTGGGGATGCCGACCCAGTGAGTCTGGTAGGGTGAGGCCTGGAGAAAACTGACAGTGTGTTTTCAGATGCACCAGAGCAGGGGCAGGTGCTCCAGCCCCTGGCCTTAAGCTCAGGCTTCTCAGGTGTGAGACTTTGGGGACCCGCCCACCCCAGACCTGGAATCCATTAGCAGCCACCAGCATGGGAAAGGGAGCCATGGGGGCTGGTGTGTGCAGCTGCAGGCCCCGCACCAGCAGCCTGCCAGGGCTCTCTTCTCCTTGAGGGCTTCAGCTGAAGGTTCATGGGGAGGAGGAAGGGTCACTGAAAGACATAGCTCTGCACCCACCACTTCCTGCCGTGGAGGAAGGGATGTCGCTTCTCCCTGCTGTGTCTGCTCTGAGGACCCTGGGACAGAGTCCAGTCTGTCTGTGGTCACCGTCCTGTGGAGCACAGGATGCAGGCTGGTGCTTCCCAGGGCAGGATCAGGTCATTTGACTTGGTCTTCACAATTTAACATCTTTTATTAAAAATATTTTATGTATTTATCTTCAGAGAGAGGGAGGGAGAGAGGGAGAGAAACGTGGTTGCCTCTCACGTGCCCCCCACTGGGGACCTGGCCCACAGCCCAGGCATGTGCCCTGACTGGGAATGGAATCGGTGACCCTTTGGTTTGCAGGATCAATCCACTGAGCCACACCAGCCTGGGCATAATTTAACATTTTTAAAAGATTATTAACAACATCTGAAAATCAGTAACATTTACATAAAACCCTTTTGTTTTAATGGTTTCTCTTGAAATATCAGGAGATACAGCAGCACTGGCTGCGTCCCACACAGCAGCTGTTCCCACTGCTCCCCAAACACAGGTCTGGAGTTGTGCCTCAGCCCCATAGAAAGGCTCATTTTGTTCCTTGACAGTCACTGTGGGGTCTTTGGAGGCCCCAACCCTGTGCCCCTGTTTGGGGTAGAAGAGCAAAGTAAGAGGGAGGAATGACCCTCCAACACAGCCACAGCCCTGAATCTGAGATTTCCCTCCTGCCCCCAGGACTGCCTGGCTGGCCCTTACCCTGGTCCTGGTTTTCCTTCTGCTGACCAGCATGGGGGTGAACGTGTCCTTGCTCCTCGGTGCCAGAGCAGAGCGGAGCCGACACCTGGATGGGTCCTACGTCTACCACCCGCTGCAGGAAATGAACGGGGAGCTCTCGGCCACCGAGAAAGAGCAGCAGGGTGACGCCTGCAGCTCCTTCAAGGACTGACACCTCCAGCTGCCCGTCATGGCCTGTTTTGGAGGCTCATTTTAAGCGGTCTGGCTTCTGCAGGGAAAAGTCCAAGGCCACTGACTCTGGATGATCTCAGCCCCAGTGCCAAGCCAAGCTTCTGACAGCACCTGTGCCCCTTACCTGGCCCTCGGCCCTCCCCCGGATGTCTGCCGTGGCACAAGCAACCTGAGCAATACAGTGTTCCTCGGGGAGAGACTCCTTCCCCGCCTGCCTGTGTCTGCTGCTGTGAGGCCGGCCCCGCAAGGGCTTCTGCCAAAGAGCCTCCAGTCTCCTGGGACAGGAGCACTAGTGAATGGAACTTACCGCATTGTGACCGGGTGGCAGGCTCCAACCAGCCCCACTGGACTGGGGTGGACTAAAGGGACGATGGCACATCACTGCATTTGCCAACTAGAATTCTATTTCCTGTCACAGGAAGCTCCTTAGAAGGGATGGGGGATGAAATCATGTTTACAGGCTTTTTATTTTTGTCATCCTACCACCGAGAAGGTTTTTATAACACTTGAATGAATTGATATAATTAAAGGAGCCCTAGGCAGTGGCTGAATTTTGGACTTCAGGTCACTCCTGGGTCTTAACAGGTGGAGCTGTAGTACCTGAGTCAGGAGTCATGAACAGGCAGCCCAGAGCACCTCCAGCTCCCAGATGTAGTCTGTTTAACTCGGGGCTTCTCACTTTAATGGGTGCATGAGTCATCTGAAGATCTTATTAAAATGCAGATGATGGCAGGGGGTGGAGTTTAAGTCTTAGAAGCTCCCAGGTGGTACCAAGGCTTCCCTGACCACACTTTGAATGGAAAAGGTTTAGCACACGCTGTATTTTAAAATAATTTAAATTAGTTACCAGTGTTTAAAAGAGATGAACAACTCCAGGTTTCTGGTTTCTCTTTGACGAGAGAGCTAGCAACCCCAGCTGGTGCTCTCATGAGGCAACAGCTTGTCAGAGCTGAGAATCTACAGCCCCCAGCCTGGCCCTGTCCAGTTCATTGCAGCCCCAGCAGCGGGCTCCCCTCACCTGTTACCTCCTGGCCTCGTGAGTATCAGAGTTTGTAACTTGTGGCTGTGAAGGGTCTTCACTAAGTGCCTGGCAGCTGCCCCATGAGTAAGTATCACACTGCTTAGCAGCTTGCATTTCACTTCCACCTGGAAGGTTCATTTTGTATTGTGCTTTCTTTTAATGCACCAAGCAGCCTCTGTCCGATTTGATATTCAAGGGTAGGACATGTAGTGGCAAGAGCTCAAGCAAGTTCCCAGGCACCTTAGGATCACTGGCATGTTCCTAAGGTGCAGTTCCCGAGCCTGGCTGCAGGGCAGAACGCATTCCCCAGGAATGTTCCAGGACTGCAGATTTCTGGACCCTGTCCCAGACCCACTGACTCAGTGTCAGAAGCAGAGGGGCCCAGGAATGTACACAGAGCGCCCCGGAGGCTCTTAGGCAGCAGGCTGTGGAAAGTCGTCCTGAAAGCTCCAGCCTCTGCAGATGAGCTCCCTGCCGGTCCTCGGCTGTGCTGGGGGCTGGGTGGGAAATTGCAGGTCTGCAGTTCTCTGCGTGGGCTTGCTGCATTTCAGCTTCAGGGAAGTACCTCAGATGGGCTGGTGGCATGCCAGAGGGGTCCCTGGTCCAGCAATGGGGACACATTCACCTCCCTTGTGTCATAGGGGTGTCTGTTACTTTTGCCGCCATCCAGTCCCTCTTAGTGTCTGCCCCATCTGAGGCCAGGTCCTCTCAGCAGCAGAACTTGAGACAAGGGTGTGAGGGCAGGTAGTGTATTTGCAAGGTAGCCCCAAGAATCCCTGTGTGGGAGACAGGGAAGTGAGCAGAGAAGGTAAGGCAGCCTGTACATGGTACATTAATGAGCAGCTTCCCACTGTGGGCAGCCAGGCTCACCCTACTGGGGCCTCTGGGAGAGTAGAGGACACCCGCACCACCTACAGGCGGGGGATGGGGGAAGCTGGCGTGTTCACCGGCCAATGCTCATCATGGGTTGAGGGCTGCTCCTGGAGGTTAACTCCCTGGCACTTCAGCCTGCTCTACACAGGAGCCCAGGATACTCGAGGTAGCCATTGAAGAAAAAAACTGAAGTTTCTTAATGTTAATAAAAATAAAAAATAATACCCATCACCTCAAAAAAATTGAAGTTTTTTTTGCATCCAGTTGCCCTTTGTGGTAATAAGACTGCCCAGGGTTATGGCATCAAGAGCCATAACCACAGCCTCCATCAAGTTGCTTTGGGCACTACCTCTTCCCCATTCTCCATCCTTGTGGTTTGGCTGGCACCATGCACTCCCCGCAATCCAGGGGGCATTAGTGAATGGTTCAGAGATAGACATATGTCCCAGTTGGCTAGTCACAGCCCATCCTGGCACTTCTTTCCCCTGGAACCAGGAGCCGACATGGAGAATAGAACCAAGAGAGAAAGGGGCTATCATTTGAGCCCCTGGATTCAGCTATACCTGAAGCCAGTGTCATTCTTGGGAGTTCCCAATTATGTGGACCAGTGAACACCCAGGTTCGCTTGAGGCAGATTGTGTTAGGTTCTGGGGTCTCTGGCAACCCAAAGAGTCTGACACTCCTAATGTGCCATTCCAGAAGAGGCACATTTTGGGCTTGTATTTGCAGGGCTTAGATGGAACATGGACCTAGAGAAAAAAGTATCCAAGATTCCAATACCTACCTTTGGTGAAGGGGGTGGGGCGCTTATGGGCCACAAACCTACAAGAACTAAAGTTGTGAAGCTTCAGGACTGCGGGCTGGAGAGGAACGTGATCTAGTTCCGGCACAGCTAGGATGCCCTCCCCACCTCACAGCCAGGATGGAGTGCAGACCCCAAGTCCTGACAGGCTGACTGGGAACCCCCAGAGTGCAGTGTGCCGGGCAGTTACCAGGTTGGCACATATCTCAGCTGTTGGCATTCTCTACAAAACTTTAGCATCAGGGAAGACTCCAGAAAAAAAGTTCCAATTCCGGAGCCAATGGGTGGGCAATGGAAATAATTCAAGCATGATACCGCAGCTTTCAACAGGTTCTCAGAGGGGTTCGTCTCTCAGAAAAAGTTCAGCTCCAGAAAACTCTTAAGTCAGAGGTTTCAAATTGTGCTTTCTGAGAGCCCATGTTCCTCAGAAGTGCCTCGTGCTGGGGAGGCACCAAAGGGAGAGGAGGGAGAGTGGGCGGGGCGAGGTTTGAAAGCCATGATCACCTTTGACATCCCTGAGAGCTACCCAGAACCTTTCCTTCCGGCTCTTTCCAGCTCATTCCAGCTCTTTCCAGGCCCTGCTTGAACTCCCACACCAGCGCCCTGAGACCCTCCCCCCCCCCCCAGAGGCCCCAGAGGTCTGCCTTGGACACAAGCCCTCGCCTTGGAGGAGAATTGGTCCCAGAGGCAGCCTCTGGGCCACAGGGAGCCCTGGCATGTTCTCCAGACCCAAATCCCAAGAGGCTCTGAGGTGGTGATTCTGTGGAGACAGACGTCACCAGTGACCAGACCGCCTGCACCAGGGAGCTCTCTTTCTCAACCCCAGGCACACCGTGAGTCAGCTGGCTGTTCCTTTGAGAGTCCTCACACACAGACCCACAGAAATCCATGGGAAGGCCGCAGGGAAGGAGTGAATGCAGGAAAGAGTGAATTCACCCCACCAGGGTGGGCAAGGGCCGCTGCCTCTCCCTCAGAGGTGCTGGGCACGGCTGGGTAACAAATGCTGGTGTAGACAGGTGGCCCTAATGCTGTCATGCAAAGGAACCCCCTCTTCTCTGCTCCCCCAGTGACAGTCCTTGGCCTCCTGCTTCAAAACAATGGAATCCCTCCTGACATGAGGACTGTGGCCATTCTCAGATGCAATGCTGGGACTTGGGTAAAAACCCAGGGGACAGGGCAGTGGGGCCCAGGAAGAGGGGCAGCAGGGCCCTCACCTTCACCTGGATACCTGGCAAGTAGAATCCAGGAACCTAACCCCAAGATTCCAAGTCAGCAGCGGTGGGCGAGTGGGCTCCAGGGGTCTGCACTGGGTACCGTGAACAAACTGCACATGCATCTGCCCGTGCGCTACATGCACATGCAGTGTGTTGGGCAGTGTGGCCCCAAACCCATGTCCACCCAGAACCTCCCAATGTGGCCTGACTTGGAAGCAGGATCTTTGCACATGTAATTAGTTAAGGATCTCAAGCTGACATCATACTGGGTTTGGGGGGGGGGGGAGCCTTACATTCAATGACTGGTGTCCTGACAGGAAGAGGAGACACAGGGGAGGACGGGGGCGGAGATGGGGGCGATGCGCCCACCAGCTGAGGAGCAACCAGAGCCACCAGGAGCTGGAGGAGGCAGGCAGGACCCTCTTCTAGAGCCTGCTGGCACTTCGATTTCACACTTCTAGCCTTTAGAGCAGGAAGGGAATCAATTTTTGTTGTTTTTAAGCCACCTAGTTTGTGGTAATTCCTTACGGCATCCTAACAGACTAATACGTCTGTGATTTATATATTAAAATTTTACCCCCTTCCCCCAAGGACCAATTTGCAACCCCTGAGGGTGATATAACCCCTGTTGAGAAGGTTCTAGAGTCTTAGAAATAGCAGCTGCGTAATTCTCGAACAAGCCAAAGGAAATCTACAAGGTTTTAGGAAGGAGACGGTAGAGGTATGTCCAAATCTAAAACATTTAATGCTTCTGTGGGGAGCAAGTGATCAGGGCAACAAGAAGCCCCACATTTTACTGGCTGAAACAGACTGAGTGTGGGAGAGAATGACACTGTTCC